CTATTTTATTTTGAAACATTAACCTTATTGAACGACGTGTTTACCACGTTCTTCAATTATCGTTCGCTATCTTTCAGACAACATTATCATTTAACTTTCACGGTAAAGAACTTGTCTAGGAGTCTTTTATACATTTCTTGAAAATTGAAGTATTTATTTTTATATTCTACATTAACTTTAGTGGTCGAGTGGTGGCCAGAACATACGCTTTCTGACCAAGGTATCAGATGTCGATTGACATTACACTTGAATATGTGAAGTTTAAAGTTATCGGGGAAGCAAACAAAGGAAAAGGAGTTCCACAGACGAGAAGTGCGAGAGAAGATGCTGTTTGAGTAGAAGAGACGGTTACATTTAACCGTTTTGACAGTGAAAGAGTGGAACCGAGATGCCAGCCTGGTAGCTTGCTTAAATTCATGCAGTCTGGGAACAAGCTCGTCGGAACAGTTGCCATGGAAATATTTGTAGAAGAGACAGGGGGAAATCACGGCACGTCTATGAGAAAGCGACTGTAGACTAGATGCCAGATCAGGACCCATCACATTACATATTCGTCTCTGGATGCATTATTCTATTCAATATGTGGCAAGCAAAGAACAGAGAATCCTTTATCCGAAATTCTTGGGACCGGAAGTGATTCGGTTTTGAATTTTTTTTTTCGGATATTGGAATACAGGATATTCGATGTGTATATAACATCTATAAAATGGTGCAGCTTGGGAATGGATCTCAAGGATAAATACAATATCCCTTTATATTTTTTGAACACACAGCTATATATATATATATATATATATATATATATATATATATATATATATATATATATACACACACGCATATATATATGTAGGTTGGTGCAAAATTCGTGATAAATAATGTCATTTTTGACGTTAAAAATACATCAAAAAACGACATTATTACGTCATTATTTTTTTCACCAACCTAATATATATATATATATATATATATATATATATATATATATATATATATATACACCCTGAAAGTAGTTTTATATAAATAACATATACACTGAAGGTAGTTTTATATCAATCACATACCCTGAAATTCAGTTATGTGCCATGCGTGATACACACTTAGGCGATCATGTATCTTTCGATACATGACTGACGAGGCAGATTTTTTTTCCTGAAGTAGGTTGTCATTTCTTTCTGCGGTAGACCAGGTGCCATCTAAGGCTATAGAACCTGGTCTGTTCTGTTATTTATCCATAGCTGTGGGGAGAAGAAGAGGACTCGTACCTTTCTCAAGGGTATTAGCACGTAAGTGAATGTAAGAGATGCGAATGGAATTCGAACTCGGCTCTCCGACTCTTCAATCCGAGCCGCTATCCATTAGTCCTTTTTCCCGCAGTAGGTTGCCATTTCTTTCTGCAGTAGACCAGTTGCCATCCAAGGCTATAGATCACGGCCTGTCCTGCTATTTACACATAGCTTTGGAGGGGGAGAAGTAGAGGATTAATACCTTTCCCAAGGGTATTAGCACATAAGTGAATGTAATGGATTCGAATCAAATTCTTGGGTCCGGAAATGATTCGGTTTTCAACATCTTTTCCGATTTTGGAATACAGGATATTCGATGTGTATATAACATCTATAAAATCTATAAAAACCACGGCACGTCTGTGAGAAAGCTAGATAGTGGCTTATAAAACTACTACTACTACTACTACTACTACTATATATATATATATATATATATATATATATATATATATATATATATATATATTTATGAAGGTAGTTTTATATAAGCGGCATATGTCCACTCTGACTCTGAGGAATTCCACTCCAATACACGATTGAGATCATCATTTCTTGCTCTGTGCCGTGTTTTTCTTATTTTCCATTCATTTCTGGCCATCATTTTCAGCAGAAAACTTGAAGAATTCCGTCTTCGGTTTCCTTACGTCGTTTTTGGTAATTGTTCCAACGCCAAACTCATCAGTCAGACGCTTCACACTTACACCCGTGTCTAGCTTTTTATTTTTTGATCGGAATCACCCCAAGCAAGGCAGTAAAGCCACTAAAACACAAAGGGTTACAGGGTGTGGAAGAATTAGGAACAGAAACATTAATGATGAGCAGAAAGAGATGAGAGTAATCAGGTGGACAGTAGATAGTGATTGACATTGCATTTAAATATTTGAATTTTAAAGTTGGTTGGAAAGCATGGAGCTGAAAGGGAGTTCCACTAGCAAGGCAGTAAAGCCACTAAGACACAAGGGGTTACTGGGTGTGGAAGAATTATGAACAGAAACATTAATAATGAGCGGGAAGAGGAAAGAGTAATCGGGAGGACAGTAGATAGCCATTGACATTGCATTTAAATATTTGAAGATTATAGTTGGCTGGAAAGCATGGAACCGGAAGGAAATTCCACAAGCAAGGGAGTAAAGCCACTAAGACACAAGGGATTACTGGGTATGGAAAGATTAGGAACAGAAACATTAATAATGAGCGGGAAGAGGAAAGAGTAATCAGGAGGACAGTAGATAGCCATTGGCATTGCATTTAAATTTTTGCAGATGGAAAGCATGGAGCCGGAAGGGTGTTCCACAAGTGAGAAGAAACCGTTAGCATAGGACTTACGGCTGCATCTAGTCAACTCAACTGTAAATTGATGAGATATTGACGCCAGTCTAGCGCTGCGCTTAAATTAAAAAAGAGTATCGTAGCGAAGAGCTCATTTGAACAATTACCGTGAAAGTATTTATAGAAAAGACAGAGAGAAGCAACCTTACGGCGGTGGGAAAGTGATTGAAGCCGAGCTGACAGATGAGGGCCGATGATATTGCAGATTCTTCTTTGGATCTTATCAATGAGCTCAAGGTAAATACCAGGAGTACCGGACGATATGTGGTAGCAATCTAACCTAGATACAGCCGCCACATTTCTTGCGCTTCCCTTCTGTAACACTCCCTTCCGATTTCTTGCTTCCCTGGTAATTACAACCTTCACAAATTTAAATGCACATCAGTTGCCATCTTCTGCCTTTTTGAATCTCGTTCCTTTTTTTTGTCCGTTCCTTAATCCTCCCTACTAAAGTCTTCTTATAACTACTTGTAACCCCTTGAGTCTCAGTGGCCTTGCTTGGGCTGAAATGAGCGAGGAAAAGTAAAAGAAAGTAGAAGAAGCACGGCACGTGGAACTAGAACAATCTACCCCGGTGAACGTAATAAAGGGTTCGGTTCGAAATTCCAATCACCTGAAGAAGGTCGGAGCGTAAAACGGCCGAAAAGTTGTGAATATGCTAATGAAGATGAGGAGAAGAATCCGAATAATGTAAACAATGTAAGTAAAAGAGTTTTTAATTTTTTTAAATAAAAACCTAGTATCGATTCTTGTTTAGGCAATTGCGTCATTTCATTTTCCTAAGAATTGTTCATGTTTCTTGCTAGAAAAAAAGAATTGCTACCGCAAAAAGAAATTAAGATTGTTTGAATGATTCGTTTTTTACGGTTTATCAATCCTTTGCAGGTTATTTAAAGATAAAAAATATAATGTGGAGAAAGTGGGGGATCAATTCTATATTACAGTCAATATATAAACTGGACCCTTACTTTGTGGCCACGGTAGTTTCTATGCATTTGTATTTCAGAGAATGTAAATAAATCTAAAAGACATGCCTGTGGAGCTGATCAGTATTTCTTTGATTGATTCGTTTTTTACGGTTTATCAACCCTTTGCAGGTTATTTAAAGATAAAAAATATAATGTGGAGAAAGTGGGGGATCAATTCTATATTACAGTCAATATATAAACTGGACCCTTACTTTTTAAGACGGTAGTTTCTATGCATTTATATTTCAGAGAATGTAAATAAATCTAAAAGACATGCCTGTGGAGCTGATCAGTATTTCTTTGATTGATTCGTTTTTTTTTTTTATCAACCCTTTGCAGGTTATTTAAAGATATAAAATATAATGTGGAGAAAAGTGGGGATCAATTCTATATTACAGTCAATATATAAACTGGACCCTTACTTTGTGGCCACGGTAGTTTCTATGCATTTATATTTCACAGAATGTAAATAAATCTAAAAGACATGCCTGTGGAGCTGATCAGTATTTCTTTGAATGATTCGTTTTTTACGGTTTATCAACCCTTTGCAGGTTATTTAAAGATATAAAATATAATGTGGAGAAAGTGGGGGATCAATTCTATATTACAGTCAATATATAAACTGGACCCTTACTTTGTGGCCACGGTAGTTTCTATGCATTTATATTTAACAGAATGTAAATAAATCTAAAAGACATGCCTGTGGAGCTAATCAGTATTTCATTGATTGATTCATTTTCTATGGCTTATCAACCCTTTGCAGGCTATTTAAATCCCCCCCCCCACAAATTATTATAGATTTTAAGAATTTGGGAGGGCGTGATAATAATGATTTAGGGGATATATCTTACTAATTAACCCATAGCTGGGAGAAGAGGTGGATTCATACTTAATCTGAATTTGATAAATAAGCCAGAAATTATAATGTGGACATAAAGTGAGGGATCAATTCTATATTACAATCAATATATAAACTGATCACTCTCTTTATGGCCACAGTATTTTCTATACATTTATATTCCAGATAAATAAATGTAAATAAATATAAAAGACATGCCTGTGTCGCTAATCAACCCTTTGAATGTTATTTAAACCTAAAATATATTTACTATAAGATTTTCTTTGGAGATAATTATTTAGTGATACAATCTAGCTAATTAACCCATAGCTAGTGGGAGAAGAGGTGGATTAGTGGTATTTGCGCGTAAATGAGCATAAAGAAGGCAACGGGAACTAGAACGCGTTCTCACATTAAGAATCGTGAGCCATTATCCATTACACCAACCTAGCTTACAGAACCTGGCATTCCCAAGCGGTTCCCCATGTAGGTACTAATCCGGCTCAACGTTGCTTAACTACGGTGATCTTATTCAGTGTGATACGGCAGTAAGCCATTTCTCCCTTCATATCCAAGCTTACAGCCTTTGGTATTCCCAAGCGGTCACCCATCTAGATACTGGCCAGGCTCGACGTTGCTGAACTAGTGTGATTGTACGGGAACCGGTGTTTCAACGTTATGTGGCCGTAAACCATTTCTGACCTCATATCCAATCTCAGAGAGTTTAGTATTCCCAAGCGGTCACCCATCTATGTACTGACTAAACTCGACGTTGCTTAACTTCGGTGATCGTACGTGAACCGGTGGTTCAACGTCATGTCACCGTAAGCCATTTCTACCCACACGACCAAGAATACAGCACGCGGTATTCCCAAGTGGTCACCCATCTCAATACTGATCTGGTTCGACGTTGCTTAACTTTGGTGATCGTACCGTACGGTGCTTAACTTCAGTGATCGTACGTGAACCGGTGGTTCAACGTCATGTCACCGTAAGCCATTTCTACCCACACGACCAAGAATACAGCACGCGGTATTCCCAAGTGGTCACCCATCTCGTTACTGATCCGGCTCGACGTTGCTTAACTTTGGTGATCATACGAGAACAAGTGTTTCAACGTGACATGGCCGAAAGCTATGAAATTAAGACCAGACCAGAGTTTATCATCGGCGGACAATAATCCTGGAAATTAAAAATAATTCTATTTGCTTAAAATTGTATTAGTCTTTGTCAAAGAAACAAATTCAATGCTTGAAATGCTATTCAGCTGCAAAAGCCAATCAAAGAATTTTACCATTTTTCGCCAAGAATTCCTTTAGCGAGACGATCTCAATAGATGTAAATGACTTACAATGGGAAATAAATAGAATTTTAATTCAACAGAGATTCTAATTCTAAGCAAACAGAAATAGATTCTTATATTTGGCGTGTCCGTTTAAGGCGTTGGCGATCATGGCTCTCCACAATTTCCTGTCCTTTGTGGCTCTTAGTAAAATTTATCTTTTACCTATCTATATTAATCCCAGTTCTGGCAAACATTTACACAATCTTCTTCATGTTCTTCTATGTGCCATACACCTGCAGGACCATAGCGATCATGGCTCTCCACAATCTCCTGTCCTTTGTGGCTCTTAGTATATTTTATCTTCTACCTATCTATCCTAATCCCTGTTCTGGTAACCATTTACACAATCTTCTTCATGTTATTCAATGTGCCGTACCCCTTCAGGACCTGAGCGATCATGGCTCTCCACAATTTCCTGTCCTTTGTGGCTCTTATAATGAATTTTAGCTTTTAGCTATCTATCTATCATAATTCCGTTTCTACTAACCATTTTTCAAATTTTCCTTCTTGTTCTTCTATGTGACGTGTCCCTTCAGGACGTGCTAATAATTCCAGTTTTCTTAAAATTGACTTCTTGCATAGATTGAATTAATCTGGTGAGACGACTCATCCTTGTCTTATATCCCATTCTTTTTTTTTTTTCTATCTTTACTGAAATCAGTTTCTCTCAAAATGATGGCGTTTGGTTCCCGGCATAGGCTCCAGATTATTCTAATATCCTTCCAAAATCTGTCTATCTTAACTCGCAGATCTAACAGTTATTTGTCACGTAGCTTATCAAATGCTTTTGTATAATGTACAAAGTATAGGTATACAACATTCGTAGGGTCTTCTAGGGAAATGAACGTATGAGTCTTTGATCTCTCGCTACTTCCAGGGAAAGTGTTCGGACGAACTGCATTCCTTGGTTCCGACAGGTCTAACCTTCAAGGCCAGGAACTGCCATGCCACTTACAGAGTAGCAAACCACCTACATGCCCTTTGTTTTTCATTGATGGGAAATAAGTTCCACTCGAACAGCTTCTCGTGAAGCACTGCTCCGTGGAACTGACTCCCAAGGGGATATTTCCCCGATCACTACAATCTTAACCTGTTCAAGTCTGGGGTTAACCGTTATTTTCCCTTCCTATCCGTATAAATTAAAAAGTCGAACGTCTACATCAGATGTTAAAAGAAAGAAAAAAAATCAACGCCCCTAATGCCATCTAAGGACGAACATCGAAGAATTTGTTGCGGTAACTGATTTGGTTTGATTTATTTTGTTTTGCTGCATTCCTTGGTTCCGCCAGCTTTAACCTTCACGGCTAGGAATCGCCATGCCACTTACAGAGTATCAAACCATCCACATTCCTCCCGTGTTTCATTGGTGAGATAAGTTCCACTCGAACAATTTTCTTACTGCGAAACATTGCTCTGCAGGAACTGATACCCAAGAGGATGTTTTTAAATGATTTTTAAATCTTAACCTGTTCAAGTTGAGGTATAACCTTTATCTTTCCTTTCCATCCGTATAAATTGCCTCTTACTGTGTAACCTTCTACTTTGAGTGGCCCCCGAGCCTTGTACAGGTTGAACGTCACTGTAAAAAAGAAAAGGATCATAATCCGATGATTTAGTTTCTCCAAACATTCTTGTAAATACATTCCAACAACGTTTATATGAAACTTTAGAACCAAAATAATATGTATGGCGACATGTGGTAGGAATGGCGGTTAATGTCTCGCAACGATCACCAATGCCAAGGTCAGATAAGGAACTTATTTTGATGTGTCGCCATTATGAATAAGCTTTGAGTGACGTCCATAAAGGTGAAATTGTTATAGCCTGAAGATTGGGTCAGTTCATTTCCAAAACCGCATGGCTTGTGAAAAGCAAATCAAATTGTGGTCAGTAAAAGCCGCAGCGATTATGGCGTTTATTAAACAGAGAAAATATCACCAACGAGGCACAGTATCCTAAAATTACAATGTCGAATGTCTACATCAGATATTAAAAGAAAAAACCTTAAAAATCAACGCCATCTAACGACGAACGTTGAAGAATTTGTTACGATATCTGATTTGGTTTGCTTTATTTTGTTTTACAGCATATCAACCTCAGTAGGTTATTTTATTGCTGACAAGATTTTTCATATGAACAGAATATGCATTCTTTATAAGAAACTCCCCTCTCCAAAAGGCAGTACCTGCTCCTATTTATAGTTGGTAGAGTCCATGCGTGCGTGGGTAGATCCAAACTATCACGGCAAGGGTACGCCATGTCACTTACACACTAACAAACCATCTACAATTCCCTCCGTACTCCATAGGTGAGAAGTAAGTTCCATTCGCGAAGCTTCTTCTTCTATTGGACTTTGGAACCGACTCCTAAGAGGATGTTTCCCGGAATACTACAGTCTTAACCTGTTCAAGTCTAGGGTTAACCGTTATCTTTCCTACCTATCCGTATAAATTAAAAAATCGAATGTCTACATCTGATGTTAAAAGGAAAAAAAAAAGCAACACCCCTAATGCCATCTAACGACGAACGGCAAAGAATGTGTTACGGTAACTGATTTGGTTTGGTTTATTTTGTTTTACAGCATATCAACCTCAATGGGTTATTTAATGCCGACAAGATTTTTCATATCAACAGAATATGTATTCTTTGTAAGAAATCAGTTTGTGGATCAAGTTTCATTGACGTATTTTTTGTAAAGTGGGGTTTTGTTGAGAGTCAAATGTATTGCTGATAATATTTTTTTCAAATATGTATTGCTGGTATTTTCACTATAAAATTTTATTTTTATACTTTCAAGGTGTTTTAACTCCTGTTGGGTTGTTAACTATTTGCCCATAGCTGGGATCCTAACAGGTGCTACCAGCCCGGGTCAGTGTGGACCTGGAAACAACAGGAAGTTAGAGGTTGTTCAACAAAACCTCCCGATCAGGAACCTTGCTGCCGGGTGTGGTTTATCGTCATACCCAGGACGAGTTACGGTAACCGATGCTTTTTTTACTAGCAAATAATTGACAGTTAACTGAGGTTCTGCAAGATGAATTAAAAGGGATAATCTGATTTTAAATATCAGTCGAGGACAATACCAACACCCTTCTCAGGAGAAGTCATGGAAAAAAAAGGAGTGAAAATATGGCCGATTAGAAGTCAAAGAGTGTCACAAATCTGGGATCTAGGTAAATTGTTCAAAATCGATTGCTAGACAGTTAATTGCTTGAAGTCAATTGCTCGAAAAATAATGTCTCGAACTAGTAATTGCTCGAAAGGCAGATTGCTCGAATTAATTTCGAAGCACCACGTAAACTGCGCCGTCTCACGACACGTCAACGGAGCTGGATATAAAAGTAGCCACAAAACTCACTTTAGACGTTAGTCTTCTATGGCTTTCTCTCTTGGCTTTGCTTAACACACGGTGGCAAGGCTACTCTCTGTACGTGTGGTTCTTCCTTTCTTCCCATAGCAACCATATCTATTGTCATTAGACTTGTCCCTTAATTGTTAATACTCATCACTGTATTGTCTATTGTTGGTATTGAATTAACCTACAATACTACTGACTATTTTCATGATTTTTTTTATATTTGTTTTCTATTTCTATTTTAGACTATGACACAACAAACAATGTTGAAGAATATATAAGAAGTGTTGCATATATTTCATACTGTCAGGTCATCCCATAAGTTCTGTCCGAATTTTGAATAAAGAAAACAAGTGACCAAATGTTACATTTAATTTTCAATTCAATCAACAATGTATTTTCCCTGATTATCTATGACTTTTTTTCCATCTATCAGGTCATCCCATAAGTTCTGTCCGAATTTTTTGATAAAAAAACAAGTGACCAAATGTTACATTTAATTACAGATTCAATCAGCAATGTATTTTCCCTGATTATCTATGACTTCCTTCCATCTATCAGGTCATCCCATAAGTTCTGTCCGAATTTTGAATAAAGAAAACAAGTGACCAAATGTTACATTTAATTACAGATTCAATCAACAATGTATTTTTCCTGATTATCTATGACTTCCTTCCATCTATTAACAAGCTTACTAATTCCATTACTGTAAAATTCTTTTGGCTTTGATTCGAAGAACTCACAAATGTCAGTTTTAACCTCTTCCTGTGTTACAAAAGCTGTTTCTTCCAAATGATTCTGTAAGCTACGAAACAAATGGTAGTCTGAAGGAGCAAGATCGGGAGAATAAGGTGGATGAGGAATTTTCTCCCAACCAAGTTCTTCGATCTTTTGTGACGTGATTCTTGCTGTGTGGGGTCGCGCATTGTCCTGATGAAACATCACCTCTTTTTGATTCACTAGAGCAGGTCTTTTTTTCCTCAAAGCTTGGTTCAAATGCTCTAATTGCTGACAGTATATTTGAGCATTAATTGTTGCATTAGGTGGTAAGAATTCAAAGTGGATTATTCCTTGGCGATCCCACCAGATTGAAAGAAGAACCTTTTGCCCATGAAGTTCCCTTCTCGGCTGTGGCTGGGGTCCTTCCCCTTTACCAAGCCACTGTCTACGACGCTTAACATTTCGATAAAAGATCCATTTTTCGTCGCCAGTCACAAGTCTATCCAAAAAAGGTGAAACAAGTTGGCGAGAATGGAGAGAAGAGCAGATGTCAACTCGGGATTTGAGGTTGTTTTCAGACAATTCATGAGGCACCCATTTTCCAAGTTTAGGAACTTTTCCAAGTTGTTGAAGATGACGATGAACAGTTGTATGGTTTGAACTGAGAACCACTGCCAATTCCTCAACTGATAAAGCAGGATTTTCTTCAAGG